TATATATATATATATATATTGATATATAATATGAATTACTCATCTAAATTGGAATTTACATCTTTCTACTTTTCCTATTTCTGAATGGCGAAATAGAATTAGCTGACCTTTAGAATAATTTTATTATCGGTTCAGTATATTATCTGAATAACGAATTATCTTACTATAGTGGAATTGAACCAGCATCCACTGATATATTGAAATAATTTCATCTCTGAATATGTTATAAAGCGTAACTGATTTAAAGAAATGGACGTTCAGAACATGTATATTGTTGGATATCTCTGATCAAAGTCTACACAGTCCGAGAATTTTTAATCTTACTCGAATATAATTTTTCCGTATATTTAAACCGTTTCTGAAATTTTGTTTCAAATATATTATAGTCTGATACGATCAACACATACAAGTTTTTATCGTTTTAATTCAAGAAATAATTTTAAAAATCTCATTCAAAAAAGATATCATGTTTTCGAATTTGAAAAATTAATTTATTCTCAATGTAATTAATGTTTAATTAATTTAGTAAAATAGCTGTAAATTTGAAATAACTTTTAATTCTTTTTTCATTTCTGTACTTAACATGAATTATGTATTATCTATGCTATTAAGTACGATTCGGCTTTCGAATACGGACCTGTGAAGACTGCACTTTAAGTTATTGCATTACATCGTATTGTGCTTGTATTGCTTTCCAGATCATCTTTAATACTTTCCCTCACATATGTTAATAAAGTATATACAATTGACTAGTAAATTCCTAACTTCTTTCAATATAGACTTATATGTTCTTCAGGTAACCATATAAAGAATAAGCGAGTTGTAAGGAAAAACGGCAAATATAATGATTTTGCGTAAAATTTATTCTTAATATTTGAATTTTTATATTGTGTTTTTTCTCTTTCACATGAGAAGAGATGTAGATTTTTTTTTTATTTAATTGTCGGATTTCTTCAATAACAATATTTTAATCATAAAAGGTACAAAATAATATTAGTGTTCAAAAAAATTTAAGATAGAAAAAAATTTTTAATCTGTAAAATGTAAACAAATTGCATCAGTATCTTTTAAATAACATATCTTCACTCAATAAGAAAGATTATACTCTTTTGATGCAAAACTATATCAAAAGTGTTGGAAAGAAATATTCTAATTATATTATCAAAAGTAAATTGTAAAATAAAATATTTACGTCTTTTAACAAAATAAACATTACTTCTTTCTCGCATCATACCCGTCAATTTCCAATTCTACCTTGCTCATTTATGTATTTGCAGAAAAACTCTACAAATATCCCATTATTGTTAAGCATTCGATATGATAAGTAACCGTACGTATTTTGTACTCATGATTGTACCTAAACCGTCCCGCAATAATTACATAAATTAAATAACTCTGTATTATATAAACTCTGTGTAATATATATATATATATATATAATATGTATATATATATTTTTTTTTTTTTCAATATCCTTAAATTTATATTATAGAATTCAGCACTTTCTGGTCTTCAAATGTCGAAACGCTCGACTAATCGCCAGTTGTTATAGGCTCGGTTTATCACAGACTGCAGCAAGCCGTCGCGTTCTTCATGATTCAATCACAATTCTTCGCGATCCGAAGGAAGAGAGCTTGTTTTATTGCACGTAGACGGATCAGACATCCAGGCGAGATCCTTTAAGGTTGCGGCATGCATAGAACATACCGCTAGGACGACCATTACATGCATCACATTATGGGAATTCAGCACTAAATCCAATCGGCCGGGAATCCATTTCTCTGGAATGCGAAGAGCGCCAATGGTTGCACCTATCACAGCTATGAGATCCTGGAATTTATTCCTACATCAGCATTATCTCTAATATTTAGTACACGCTATCTGGAATCATATTCAAAATGCACCTGTAATATTATATGAATAAGAGCCTCGGGTGACCCGCCACCAATACCGAAACATCTCAACGTCATAATTAACATTCTCATTAGGAAAGGAGGGGCAAAACATAAACGCCTTTCCCAGGGTGATTTAGCAGTCATTGCCTATGAATCACATTAATGTTTAAATATTTTATCGTCACAAAGCGTCGTTGAATCAGATGCAAGCTAAAAATACCTTCAAAAGTCCCCACATACTAAGAGAGCAATAAATAAAAATGCAGCAATACCAGACATTATCCGCAAGGCAATGAACAGCGGCTGCCATCATCGGTATAGCTCCTGAAATATTCGTGCGTGAAATAGAGAAGTGTCTATTTGCTGCTATACGAACTGTTCTCGTAGTCATTTTCTTATTTAAAACTTTCTTCATTTGAAGTAGAAATCGGTCAAAAAATAATTTGTAATATCCATTTGAAATATGAAAAGTTATTTAAAAAATAAAAAAATCTTGCAAATTTGAGCTTTAGTAGTCATACATATATATCTGTTTTTTCAGCACATTCGGAAAAGTTTTTATTAAAACCTAATCTAAAGGGTGTTATTTGCTTTCTGTTTCTTGCTTTTTACCTCAAATCTTTTTCCTTCTTTGTAACGGAATTGTCTTATCGACAATTGCGTTTCTTTTTACGTTTCTTGTCTCTTCCGAAGTCCATGAATTTTTATCTCAGGTAACGGAAAACGAAGAAATTGAGTAAGAGGCAAGTAAAAAGTGGTAAAAATCAAGAAACAAAAAACACTTTGTATATATTTACAAGTAGATCAACACACCGAAACTCTGGCACATCCATATGCCAATCATGTCGACTTTCAACAGTGTTCTGTAGAGGACTTCGTCGTAGTTTACGTTCATGAAGAGATGATATAGGAAGGATCCAATCCACGGACTAACAGCACCGATAAAATGGCACCAAGAAAGAACTCCCACGAGTGTCCCTTTTGTATTCCATGGAAGTAGATGTGGTACAGTCACCAACATGTACAGGATAGCAAATCCTATAAGCACACACGATCGCTTGTATAGGATGCTTTCGGGTAAATGTATTTTGAGATGAAGTTCTCTAATGTTAGAAAATTGATGATATATCTTGAGCTGCGAGAAATCTATTTTTATGAACTCTTTAGTCTCCGAGAAGTTTAAGAATTATATCTTTTATAATTTTTCTAAAGAAAATGTTAATAATTTCCTTTAAAAAAGTGTATTGTTCGTCAGAAACAAATTTTAATTTCTTAACAAGCTTCTTAAGTTTTGAGTCATTTTCTAACTCAGAACTAACTATTCAATTACTATTATATTGATAATTAAGAACTAAGAAACGTTAACGGGAAAAATTGACAAGTGTAGAGGGATTCATAACGTAGTTCAATTTTCTGAGAAAACAATTTTAAGTACATTAATGAGTTCTCTTTCATCTACATGGGTAGTTCTGACTTACTAAGATTTTATTTCACGCACATGTGCACCAGTCGATACATGAGATTTATATACGGGATGATTCATCAAAAACAGAACACATTTGAATGGATCTCTTAGTTTCTCCTTTGAATGAAGGAAAAAAATATATAATTAAGGATAATTTATCTAATTTTAAGGAGTGACAGAAAGAAGAGCTATCTAGTCGCGCTATAAAAGGATTACAGTTTCAAATGCGTTCGTAATGATCGTTCGCTGATGTTTAGAATGTATTTGATTGACATTCGATGCGATTAGAAATTTATCAATGAATCAGCTTTAACAGATAAGGAATATCATATGGGTTCGCTTTCATCGATCGTTCGTTACCCTGCAATGCGTCTTCGTTGAGCGCGATATTTTCACGGAAGTTGACCTTGATAATATGCACCTTGACTTTAAAGCCCTTAAGGGACTTAATCTACTTTTCCAGTTAATCCAATCACGAGAATGGCAAACATTTTATGTGATATAACTGTGTATTCTTTGGAATACAGTTGATCGCGTGAAGAATAATGATAGCTACTATTTCAGGATACAATTTTCGCGGAGTCTCAAAGAATTATGCATTTGATTTATTTTTATCTTATTTTGCAGCATATCATCTCGCCTTCTCTCTCTCTTTCGTTTCATCAAAATAGCGGAAAAGTCAAATTTAATTCAAATTTGGAATTAATACAATTCGAATTAAGTCACATTTAAGAATCCACTATCAGATTTCTCTTATGATAAGATAATTATTTATTATTTGTCTAAACATGTTTTACAAGAAAGAGAGAAAATCTCTTCTAAATACAAAAATTTTCCTCGCGCGCTTTATCAACATTAACCTCGTTAAGAAGATCAACGAATAATGCCCCATTTTGGAGGCGAAAAATTTTATTATCGCAATGAATAATTTTCTTTCATGTTTTTAAGCATCTAATTCCAAAGCATTATTCCAGAATTAAAAAGTCAAAACACTTAGAAAAATAAAAATAAAATTCTTTATATTATAATTACAACAGTTAATAAATTAAAATATCATCTTTTTTGAGATTTGTGTAACTTTGGTATACATTCTATCAATCCGCGCAAGCAACTCTGAAAGGATTCGCGTCATGCGACACAGGAAAAAAATTGCAGGACGAAAGTAGTATAGCACATAAGAGAAGAAAAATAAGCTTTTCAGCGTTTTCATTCTAATCGCATCGTGTTCATAAACTCATCGCAAAATGTATAATCGCGACAGATTTCCGTCTCACCGTGCGTCAGGATATTGACGGTCTCGTTGTGGACGTAGAAAAGGCTACCGAGGCACTGGCGGATGGTCATGAGCGGTCTGTAGCCGGTGAGGATGTGGGGATTAAATTGAAGGTGCCGCGGCATTTCGCTCCATCGTCGCAGCAGCAGGACTTTGGCCGACGTCTCGTCCGGATGCGACGTCTCGGCGCCGTCGGGCATCCTCTTGTCGTCCTGAAGCCGCGCTCCGTACGTGTCGGTGTCCTGGTGCGACGAGCCCGACACCGCCGCCGCATGGCGCGGTCGCTCGTCGTCCCGGAACAGCGTCGTGCAAAGGCGAACGCGCGGTGCCCGCTGCCTCGGGGAAGAGGGATCGGTCCGGCCAGCGGACGAGGCAGTATAACGAGATCGCCTCCGAGAGCCGTACGCGAGCTCTCAACGGCGGCGACGTCGCCACTGCATCGTCGTGCGCGCCGCTGATACCCCCTGTCCACCCGCCCGCCTGCTCGCCAGCAGCAGCCGTCATCCGCACGCGATTCGGCCTCTCTGACGGCTCCGTCGTCATGGCAACCGCATCGATCCCATCACTCGGACGGGGTGGTTAGGAGGAAACCTCATCGTGCGCGATCTCGCTGGATCTCGCAGCTCGATGTCGCAGATGCTCCTAGTTTCTATACCTGGCTTTCTTGACTAGCCCAATGGGTCGTAATTATTTATTGACTTGAACCGAAAACTCAAGTTAGGTTAACTTGATACCCCGGACATCGTTCTCCGTCTTCCTTTATTTTCGTACTATTTTCTTAATGCTTATTTTTACACATGATTAATAATATCTACGAGTGATACGTGTCATGAAGCAGCTTGGAAACATTTGTTATTGCTTGGTATTGTTTTATTTATTTTAAAATATAATTTGATTTTAAATCACAGTTAATTACATTTATTGTTATATTTATGCAATTGATATATGGAAATTATACATTTTTAATAAATAGAATTTTTTTTTAGTTAACAAAGGACATCAATACGATTGTGCTTTAAACGGTATCAGAATTTTAAGCAGGACACATATTTAGTTGGCAGCCCCTGAATGTCCCATATAGAGTTTCCACGTGTGACCTATTGACACAATTTCGGTGGTTGGGTGTTTTTGAGGTTTGGGTGTTAATATATTATGCTAGATATCGTATCCTATTCCTAACTGCTCACGTTATACATTATGCAAAATATACATACTATTTCAAGCTTTATCGACTTGCATCGATGAGCATTGCTTCGTCCTTGCAGTTGAATCATACAAAAACTATTGTGCCGGAAATAAAACAAATCGAAGGGAAACTTGACGAACTATATTTGTTATAAACGTGAATTTGCATTAAAAAAGTCTCAATAGAAATGGAAATCCTTTCCAAAGATAAAAGCAAGAGGTTTGGGTTGCATTGCTTTCAAAACATGGTATTGAATTTCAGAAGATGAAACATTATTGAAGAAGAAGAGAAACGTTGAAGAATCACACACGGACATTTTATTTATATGTAATGCTCATAAAACATCTTTTTATACCTTTTTAGTATCACCCCATTGATATCTATTCTCTGTATCATACACTAAAAAAAATTTACTAAAGATCTGTTTTTTAATTCCTGGACTCTCTGAATTAAAACACACGGTAAGTTGAAGTAAAACAAACGTATATTTGTTTCACTTCAATTTATTGCAACGTGTGCATCAATTCAGACTGTGCAAGAATAGAAAATAAATCTTAAATTTTAATACGTATTTTTTTGAATATGTAAATAATTATTTACTTCCAATAAATATTTAATTAATGGAAAAATGATTAAAGTTAAATCAAATTAATTAAGTCTTTGTCAAACAAACATATGCTTACATTTAATAAATATCTATCAGAGCTATTCCAACAAATATTTATTAAAACGAATATCTTTTTCAGTATAACTGAATACAATCAACCCGAATTTGCCAGCAAGAGTGCGCGCGAAAGTTGACCGTAGCTTGTTCTTGCGTGAAGCGCATCTTACGTCAGAGTCACTCAAAATCCGAAAAAGCGACAGGAACGTGACTTAGATCTTCGTCGGCGACTTGTCGCGGCCGCTGCCGTCGGGGACACGTTCCGATCCGCAGATGCTTTTCGATCGGTAAGTCCGCGTGATCTATTATAATTTTTCACAGCGAGATCATAGCAATGCAACATCTTATACGACAAACATCCCTTTGTTCCTGCCTCTCCCTCCCGGCACATAAAGATTGTTTTAGGACTTGAGACGAGACTCGTGGATACCAAACAATGGATACCAAAATTCCCGATGGGCCACCTAGTGTTGACCTTCACCCAACATCTAAATGTCCGCATGTCGTACTCGGGGTGAGTTCCACCGCGACGGCGCAAGCGCACCCCGACGACGGGGTGCATTATCTACAGCAAGTACTCCTGGTGAGTATCACACGCGCGATTGTGATGTGTGCAAGTACCGCGCTGCGTTCCCTCCTCAGACTATCCCCGAGGAGTGTTCGTCACATGCCCCGTTACTTAACAATTTGGACCGGTCGTGCCAGTCGGCCGTGTCTTGCTGTGCAGGTAGTTGTTGCACATCTGCCTATCCCTTCTGGGTTACAACGTCACATCTTCAGATCCATCCCCCTCCTTCCCAGTTAAATCTCTTCTGCTACCGCACATGGGGCTGTAACTTGAAAAGTAACGGTGATTAATCGAGAATTCAGTTAACTTAGATTGTCGATGTCAATCAATTGCAATCTTGTTTATTCCGACGTGCTGCATACCTATGTTACATTATGTTTTGGCGCAAGTCTAGTGTGTCACGTGGTCTCGTTTGCGAGACGATCGAGCTGGCGCTTGTACTGATATCGACGTTCTGTCAACTGCATGAAGATTAACATCTTTGCGTAATTGCGCGTAATTCTTCCATGTACAGTAGAGGCAAAACGTATCTTACAAATCGTATCTCCTGTAAAATACTTTTGTTCTTCATTTTTTGTTATTTATAATATAATCTGAAAGTAAAGAGAACATGTAATTTATATGCATTTGCGCTAATATATATTGCGGGAATAAAAAACGCCTCTAAATCGGATTCAGTTATCAGATAGCTATTCCACTAAAA